TAATATGATATATTGTATATATTGTTTACTGTATACATATATATATATAGAAACCAATCATAATATACAGTATACACAGTATATTGTCTATAGAAATAAGGATTAAATTTTATGATTGACATTATCTTCTAGTAGTATATTATATATATATAATCTAAGTTATATGTATTGTATATCACAATTTTATTGATAATCATTGCATAACAACATCGACAACACTGGGAGAAAAAAAACATCAAAAATAAGAGATAATTGATGAAAACTTTCTGTTTCTGTCTGTGTGTATATAATTATATATACTTTAACTATAATAGAGTTGAAAACTCAATTAGGTTTTAGGTCGGTTAGATTTTGGTGGTTAGTCACCAATTTACTACTACTACTACTACTACTACTACTACTACCACACACACATACAGTACATACATATAACCAAACAAACATACAGTCAATTCCGGGTTATTTTTTTTATTATAGGACATAGGTTTCCGTCACCACTACTACTAATACTAATACACATCAAAAACAACAAAAAAATGTTTGGCATAAAAACGGACAGTTAGTATTTATTAGTCAATATTATGTTAGACTAGACTAGAAATTATTTATATATCAATATAAAAAAAACTAAAAACTTATGAATACAATCCTAAAAATCTAATATAGTTTTGTTATGATTTATTTTTTTGGTGGTATTATTGTTGTTGTTAGGTTAGTCTGGATATGATTATTATTATTATGATTACATATTTTGCAGACAATTTTTGTTGTTGTTAATAATAATATATTGTTTATCATATTATAGTGTAATGTAATATTGTGTTGTTATTATTACTATTATATTTTAAAAAAAATTAATCTTTGATTGCATTCATACATTTATACAATTATTGTGTATATTATATTAATACAGTATTGCAAGCAAAACAAAATTTAATCATTTTATTTATTTAATAATTTTTAATTTTATTATAATATAAATACACCCAAAAAATTTAATAGATTTAAAAAAATTTATACACTACTTAAATTAATTATAAATCAAAATTTCTATTAAATATTTGAAATAATTTTTTTTTTGGAAAATAAACTCAACTATATTTTATATTAAATATTATTAATTTAAAAAAATAGCATAAAACTTAAATAGCCAAACAATATTTTTTGATTAGCTTAATGTATATATTAATAAAAAAAATTAATATATTTTTTAAGTAATAAAATAAACTAGTTGTAATTTAAATTGAAAATTTGTATATTTAAAATTTTTCATATTTTATTTAGTTAGTTAAAAAAAATTAAAATGATAATTATTTTGCATAAATTAAATCTATTGATTAATTCCCATGATTAATTAATAAACTATAAAAAAATTTTATTTATATTAATTTAAGTAGATGTACTGTATATACTGTATATAAATATGTTATAAATTATACACTATATGTATTAATAATAAATAAAGTATAAAAAATTTAATATATATACTGTAGTAATAAGTCAAATATATATACTGTATATCTATAATAATAATAAATTTAAAAATAAAATAAAATAATCTTAAGTTTCGGTGTATGTATTTGATGTTTTCTATACTGGAAATACAGTACATTTTACTGTATAATAATAATAATAATAATAATAATAATAATAATAATAATAATAATATAAAGTAAAAGTATATAATCAATAAGTCTACCCAAGTTTTCATCCCACGCACCAGTATGTTTTTTTTTGTTGGTGACTAACATTCCCCAGATTCAAAGTTTAACTGTACTTAAAATTAATAATAAGTTATATATATATATATATATATGTGTGTGTATTAATGACACACTATTAAATCAGTAATGTAGGTATATAATAATTAGGCTTTAATTTTATTTTTTTTATAATTTTATTTATATAATGACATTTATTTTTTTTAAAAAAATAGTAAAATAGTTATGATTTTAATTTTTTGCAATATTTTTGCAATTACTATTTTAGTAGTAGATAAATTATCAATTGATATTATTATTATTATTATTTAAATAACAATTCAAATAAATCATATATGATAAAATTGTAGTAATAAATTTTCTATCCTATTTAGCATATATATAGCTGTATTTATATATAAATTCACTGTAATTTATCAAATAGTTATTTATATACTATTATTTTCAAAAAAATACAGTTTAATTGGTAAATAAACCTTATTCCCCCCCCCAAAAAAAAAGTTAGGTTTACTGTACTTTCAGCAATAAATATAATAATAATAATAATATTAAATCAAATAAATTGTATGCAAAATACAATAACATCTGTTGTATTGGATTTTGTTTTGACACAAAATAAAAAAACTAAACTAAAACATAGTTTTTCAGTGTAATGGGTATCGGTTTTAAACATCGTTTCAAAAAAAAACAAAAAAAAATCAAATAATATAAATCTTTTTATAATACTGTAATCTACAACAACAACAACGATTACTACTACTATTACTACAACAATAACATTAAAAAAATAAACTTTTTTTATATATATTTTTATCAACAATACAATGTTTTTGTGTTAACTGTTTTTTTGTGTTTTTTTATTAGTTGTAACTAAACTTTATTTTTTTTGTGTCTCATTAATAGCATAAACACACAATTATTTCTATTAGATTTTATGGATTCATAGTAATAATAATAATAATATCTATAAAAAAAAAGTTTAAGATTTTTTTTAAAAGTAAAAATTATGTTTTTTTGCCAATATATGATAAAATGAGAAAATTGATGTTGGTAAAATTAATTTTACTTATATGAAATTAATAATTTATATTTTTTTTGTTTTATTAAATAAACTAAATCATATAAAATTTATTTTATATATATATATATATATATATATATATATATATATATATATAGAATTTACACCCAATTTATTGATGTGAAAATAATAAGATTAATTTATTATTAGTTTATTACTTTTAACTGAAACCGAAACCAACAAAAATAAATAATAATAATAATAATAATAATATAATACTCTTTTAAAAATTTTAGTTTCCTTCACCAGTATTGACCTCATTTAACAAAATGTTATTTTATACTATAATATATATACATTTCCTAATTTTATTCTACATATATATATATAATATATATTATATATAAACAGTATATATATACTGTATAATATAAATTTTATATATATATAATGGATATATATTTATATCAATATTTATTACTGTTTTTACAATATTTAGGATATAATAATAAACCGATATTTTACAACATTCAAATAAAACAACATTGCTAACTTTTTTTTAATATATAAGTTTTTATTTTGTTTTGTTTTGCTTGTTGTTATTGAATTGATTAAAAGTTTTCAGATAAGCCATATATAAATCTAGAGTAAATTATTTTATTTTTTTAAAAATTATTTTTAATAATTATTTAAATGAACTAAACATTTGACATTTATATTGATTTTTATTTTTTGACATTTTGCAACACTTAATAATAGAAATCTTATAAAAATTTTTAATCTTTTATGGTTTAGACTATTTTATTTAATATTTTTTTGTTTTGTTTTGTTTATACAGTAAAATTAATTAGAAAAATATAATTTATTTATTTTTTTTAAAAAAATATGTTTTAAAAAAATTATTTTATATATTATTGTTTACAATAATAAATCTATTATTTAAAATGCAAATTTAAATATAAACATCAATTAAATATAATAATATAAAAATCTTTATACATGTTGTCATTACACGTGTGTATGTTTACATGTAATCAGTGTGTGTGTGTGTGTGTGTGTGTGTGTGTGTGTGTGTGTGTGTGTGTGTGTGTGTGTGTGTGTGTGTGTGTGTGTGTGTGTGTGTGTGTGTGTTTTCTAACAGTTTTGCTAACATAAACATGACATTTAAAAGTTTCAATAGTTTGGATTTAAATATTTTAATTTATATAAATAAATACATTAATACAAACATTTGGTGCAATAATACTATTATATATTTATATACACTTCAATGTTTTACATTAACATTGAAATTTTTTTTTAAAATCATTTAAACAAACATACAGTTAATAATTTTTTTTGAGGTTAATATTATAATGAAAATTATTTTTTTTTAATTTATTGATAGATATTTGAGTTAAATTTATGAATAATAGTAATAATATAAGAAATATTTTTTATTAGTTTAAAATAACTAAAAATAATGGCATAAAAATTACAAAATACTATTATTATTTAAAAAAATGTAAAAAAATAAATATATTTAATGGATTAAAATTTTTATATATTAATATGAAATATAACTTATTATTATTAAATATATTTTTAAAAATCAATAAAAAAATATAATAGGGTTTATTTAAAAAATAAATAAACTACATTATATAATATAATATTATAAAATATAATTTTAAGTACAGCACTTACCAAAAAAAATATATATATACCATATATATATTATATATATAATGATTTTTTGATGGATAAGCGCGATTTTGATGCAAAAATAAATTGTAATAAAACTTTATTTAATATCTATATTATTTCAATATGCTTTTAGACTTATAACTTATTATTATTATTATTATTATATTTTAATATCAAATAAAATAACAATCCACAAAATCAATACAATATTGAATTGTCTTATTATTATTAAAATTATATTATATTTGATTTAAACAATAACCAAAAAAAAAGTTTTCAACAAAAGTTTTCAATTTAAGATTTTCTTATATATATATATATATAAATATTCAATCTGTAAATACAATGTGAGGTAAAACACAACAACAAAAATTGCTGGGTTTTTGAAGTTGTAATAACACAATGAATAGTGAGGATAGAGATAGAGAGGAGAAGTTTTCCGATGAGTTTTTATATATCATATATGAAAACTAAATAGTATTATATATATATATATATACAGTACTACTACTAGTACTTAGTGGTTGGACTGTCAGTCAGACTCAGTAGTAGTCGTCTTAGTCGTCCTCCTCCTCCTCTTCTTCGTCTTCTTCTTGCGTTTTTCAATCTTCAAGAAAAGAGACACTCAATTGAAGATCAAAAAACTTCAACTCATCTCTACTCTACAATATCTTATGGTTAGGAAAGAGAGTGAGTGAGAGATAGTAATAGAGAAAAGGACAGTTGTCTTATAAGTTATTAGTAATTTATATACAGTGTATATATATATATATAAATGGATGAGCACTGAGAGAGTTTGAGTAGTCGTAAGAGAGAGAGAGAGAGAGAGAGAGAGAGAGAGAGAWAGAGAGAGAGAGAGAGAGAGAGAGAAAGAGAGAGAGAATCTTATGTAGTATTGATGTCTTTTCCCATAAGAGTCTTGTTGTTGGCTATAATAAAAACTAAGCCCTCATTACATGGAAAACATACAAATATTTTTTGTTGTATCTTTAGATTTCTTTACACACTATCTCTCTCTCTCTCTCTTACTATTTATTGCAGGGCTCAGGGAGCTATTGTTGTTGTCTCCTGTGCTATTGTATATACGATTGTGGCGTTGGTATCGAAATTGGTATTGTCGTTGTTGTTGTTGTTGTTGAAGATATTAATGTTGTTGTTGTTGGCAATGACCGAACTGGTATATGTTGGGTGTCGTAATCTTCCACCACTACCACCACCACCACCACCTACTCCTTGCCATCTATGCCGGCGATGATGTTGATGCTGATGCTGATGATTGTTATCAGTGAGCGCCTGTATGCGGCGTACCAGTAATTGATAGACATTTGATCTGCAGGTAAACGCCAAGAATATGATGACTCCCTGGAGCGATGAAAAGGCGTGCGTATAGAAAAACAGGTGACTTATGGGTGTAAAAATGGCAATCAACGATAGGATCCAGGTTAGGCCTAATATGAGGGCCAGTTTAGTATACCAAACACACTGTTCCCTATAGTATAATTTAATTAAGAGTTTGTTAATCATTTTGATGATGTTTTTTTTGTTGTTGAAATGATTGATAAGAGATTAGGTTATATAACAAAATAATAATAATATAATAATAAATTATATGCACATAATTATCAACAAAAAAAATGTATTATAACATAGAGTACTGTATAAACATGTAATTTATTAGTGTTTAGTTAGTAGTAGTGGTAGAGGTAGTTGTGTTTTTATGGTAATCATAATTTTTCATGTGATTTCATATTTATATTATAAGTACAATATATTATTTATGATAAATATCAAGTCTAATATACCTGTATATATATAAAGCTGGTATATTTAAATATATTAAAATAAAAATAAATATTCATATTTTTTTTAATAGCATTATAAACACACACACACACATACACACACATAGTATACAGTATTAATTTATGACAATTGGCTACTGAAATATCTACTAAAAGTTTTGAACTAATTGGTGGAAATTTTATTTTTTAAAAAATTATTCATTAATAATTTACATTGAATGATCCCAGAATATTCTGTAATGATTAATAAACAAAAATAATGTCTATCCATTACATGTAAATGTATAGATTATCAATAAATATATATTAATATTATTACTTTATTAATTAGTCAACACATATTAAGTGTGTGTGTGTGTGTGTGTGTGTGTGTGTATATATATATATATATGTATATATGTATGTGTGTATGTATGTATGTGTGTATATGTATGTGTGTGTATTTGTTTGTATGTGTGTGTATCTGTGTGTGTGTGTATCTGTGTGTGTTTGTATCTGTGTGTGTGTGTGTGTGTGTGTGTGTGTGTGTGTGTGTGTGTGTGTGTGTGTGAGTGTGTATCTCTGTGTGTATGTATCTCTCTGTGTGTGTGTGTGTGTGTGTCTGACTAGCTTTTAACCCCATACCTCATGGATGCCTTATTGGCGATTTCAGTCTCGGTTCCGGTTGAATAGAGTTTATAGAGGATTAGCAAAAAATAGACCATATTGGCTATTAGGACAGTGCCAATGGGCAGTATACCAAACATTAGGAATGCCCCGCAACTGCTAATACTGCACACATGTAGACCGTAGTTGGGCTTAAATATGCTGCTATTATAAGCAGTGTTGTTATTGTTTTGGACAGTTATGTCGACAATTAAAAGTGTACCTTCAAAAATTATATATATATATTTACAGTATATACAAAATATTATATAAATTTATTTATTATTTTTATTAATAATCATATAGTAATCATATGGTTATATAAAAAAATGTAATAAAAATATAATTATGATAAGCAAATAAAAACAAAAATAAACAAACATTACTTACACAACTACACAAATATAAATGTAATTTTGTATATTATTATTAATTTTTATGCAAATAAAATAGTTATATAAATTTACCGGTATCTAAATAATAATAATAATAAACAATTGACAACAATTCAATAGCAACGGTATGACCTCATCACCAAAAAACCATTTCCTATTTTATTTTCATAATAATACTAATAATAATAATACCTATTATTTAATAATATAGCGTAAAGGTATTACCGGTAAATTGTATTACCGCTAACTGTATTCATAATAAATTATTATATATCAAATATTTATCACTTTATATATACATTTACATTATACACATATGCTAGATATCAAAACCTTGGGTATAATAATAATAATAATAAACTGTAAATGTAATAATAAAATATTATTAACATAATTTAGTATCACATTTACCTTATGTTGTAGAGTATATCCTAATATACATATAAGCTATATAAGCTATACATATAATATACATATATATTAATATAAATTACTTTTATATAAAATATTATATAAAAATATTTATATATATATTTTAAATTAATTAGGAATTATAATTATTTTTTTTAGTGAATGTATGACTGACCTGTAAATAATAGAGGGGTTGTCCAACAAAACACCGAATACCGTATAAACGAGTGGTTACGGACCCGATTCAAGTTGGCCAACGATTGGGAACCGGACCGAAATGTACGGTAACAGTCAAAGGCAATACAAACCGACCAGAGAAACACTGTCAGTATGAAGTAGTGTCGAAGTACGCCGATTGTACGGCACAATTGAAACGGTCGGTCCAGTCGATAGGCAAACTGCGAGCCAACGAAACACAAGTTGGCCGCAATTTTGGCCGCCGACAATGACATCAGACACTTGCCGGGAACGTTGCGCAGTCGGGGAACCAGTGAGTAGACACCGATAGTAAGGAACAGACATGTTATGGATAGTCCGATAAACAGTTTGAATAGGAATATCTGTCGCCGATTGATAAGGAACTGGATTTCGCCGAAATTTTCCGAACATATAAGGAATTCCCGTAGAAATTCCTCATTACTTTTCAACAGTTCCTGTAGACTGTTGTTGTTGTCATCGACATAATCATCGGTACCGACACTGGAGTTTAGTAGGTGTGTGCTATTACTATCACTAACGCTCTCGTTATACATGATTTTTAATTATTATATCATTATATTAATAGATATATTATTAATAATGTTGTTTATTATATTAATTACATTATATATATATATTTATTTATTTTTTGCTGAAAAAATAGTTTATTTTTTTTAATAATTTATAATATATTTTTATATGTACACTATATTTATAACATAAGAAAATAAATATTTATTATTATTATTATAAAATTTATCAAATGGTACACAAATAATATACTAAATAATCACAAATAAATTATAAAACATTTTTTTAAAATTTATTAGTTATTTTTATTATAGCACTTATAATACATTTAATAAATATATATATATTTAAATTATAATCGTTGAACAATTGTAAGAAATTTATGTTTAGTTATATTTTTACTATTTATTATTATTATTATTTCATTCAATTGTGATTAATACATTGATGTAATTGCCATAATTGCACAATTATAGTGTATTATTATTATTATGTATTAAGTATTGATTTACAATACAGTATAAATGTATTGAGAAATTAGTAAATAAAAATTGGGTAAAACTTTTGCTTAATAAAATTATTATTATTATTATTATTACTTTAAGTAAACATACACTTATACTGGTATTATACAGTGGTATATATATTTATAATATATAATATACAACTACACCATTGAATACCAGTATATTTTTATGTTATAATATGACATAATCTTTTTATGAGAGAGAGAGAGAGCTTTAGTTTAGCTCAACATTGGTTTTTATATAAATGTATAGATTGGGTAAAACTATATATCAATATATAATATTTATATACCAGAAAAAAAATTTATTAGAGAAACATCAGTAGATTTTGTTGTCCACACACACACACACACACAAAACCATTAGATAAATACATATAGTTATTACAGTTGTTGTTTGTATTACAGTATAGTACAGAACCTCAAGTATATGATATACTGTATATAATAATAATAATAATAATACAATAATAATAATAGTTTATTACTAATTCAATGGGAATTTCCAGCTAACGAGTAGTTAGAGAGAGAGAGAGAGAGAGAGAGAGAGAGAGAGAAAAAAAAAGAGAGACAAAACATAATTAAGTGGATATCACTTAAAACATTTCACTACTAATAAACTCTTGTAATGTAATAATTATTGGCAACAAATTGTTTCATAACTTATAGATAGATATATATATATATATATTAAATATTTTACAGTATTATTAGTACATTATATACTTATAATACAGTATTACTGTACACACATGTAAAAACTATATTTGTAATTAAATAAATTATATTTACGATGTTATAATAGTTTATGTAATGCATTATCAAATACTGTATATATATATACAAACAAAAATTATTTTTGTATTGTTTATACAAAAATTTAATTTTTTCAATGTTACTATCGTTTCATAAATATATTTATATTATACAAAAATATTTTACAGAATATTCACACACATATATATAATAGACAGATACACACACATACCGTATACATACAAAAATATGTTACATTAGGTTATTATGTAATTATTAATATATATATATATATATTTAGAGCACCAGTATGTTTATTATAGTCAGATAGTGATTCAATATACAGTATATATATATATATATAAAGATAGGTATTGTAAGTATAAATTATAATTTTATAATAAATGGTGTTAAGTTCACAGACAATAATATTAATAATAATAATAATAATATCATAACAACAAAAAAATCATTAACATCTGTTTTGTCGGTTTTTTTCAATGATATCAATGCTCACACAAATTATTTGAATAAATATACGGTATATTAAAGTAATTATTTATTGATTTTTTTTAAAAATAAAAAACACAATTATTTAACACATATATTAATAATTTCACAACTTTTTTCTATTAAAAGAAAAATATTTATTAAAAAAACTATTACAACAATTAAAATAATGTTTTATTGATTAGTAGTCTTTATATTTTTTTTTTGTTTAATTTTGAAAATTGAAATTCATTTTTGAATTTATTATTATAATTTTTTGTTTCACTTGTTTTTTTTAGTTGACATATTATAATTATAGTGAAAAATATTAATTATATAGTGAATAAATTATAATTTATTATTGATATTTAAGATAACTGTTTTAACTGTATTTTATTTTTAAAATAAAAATCTCAACTAAAAACTTTTCTTTCCAAAACTAACAAAAATATATATACAGTATATACAGTAAATGTGATATAAAACAAATGTATTAAATAAAATAAAAACATTATTTAACATATTGTACTGTTTTTTTTAATGGATGACCATTATGTCTACCCAATGCTTATGTGTCGTCTGTATTATGAGTATATAATACCAATGTTTTTTTTTGTTTTTTTATTCATATACCGGTACTGTATATATAAATTATATAATATCCGTAATATAAAACTGAGTAAACTAGTTGTTAAAACAATATCTAATTTTAGTTTTTTTTATATATATAATATATATATATATTTAATTCACTATACATTAGCATTTAAAATTTACACAATAATAGACTGTCAAATAGGCAAACAATATAGAGTATATATATATATATATATATATTGATATATAAATGAAATATACAGTATATATATATGTATATATAATGTATTTTATATAATCTGTACAATAAAATAATAGTTTAATTAGAGTTTAATACAAACAAAATAAAGTGTTAAATACTAACACATAGTATTTTTTTAAATGATTACTTTATATATATAAATAATTTAATTATTTATGCAAACATAGCATAGCAAAAAAATAAATTTACTTAATTACATCACATATAAATTATTGACTATAGTTAACATTGCAACAATAATTATATTATTATATAATTAAATGTCATTTTATTATTTTTTTTAATTTGTTTGTCTCTAAATGTCAAGATCATTAAGTAAAAAATATTTTATAAATTTTACAAAAATTTTTATTATAAAAAAATATCAATAATTTTTTAACAACAACAAAAACTAATCATTTAAAATAATTAATTATTTTTTTGTTTACTTTTCTCTAATATAAAGATTAATTTGAGTGCAATTATTAAAGTTTTTCACTGATTGCTAAATAGTTTCAAAAATTGTTTAAATAAATATAAAATTCAAAATAAAATTTTATCTTATTTTTTAAATTTAAAAAATACTTTAATTATTAAACAAAATTTTTAGTACATTTATGACTAATAATTATTGTTAAATATTTATTTTTTGTTGATACTTAATATATAGTTTTTTTTACCTTAAACTAATATCATCAGTTTCAATACTATTCAATAGGTTATAAATAATAAAAAATTTTAATATTTTAATATTTTTGTTAAACTTAAACATTTTATCAAAAAAAAGATAAACACTTACTAATAATAATAATAATAATATTTTTGACGAAGGTCATATTAATATTCAATAATAATAATAATAATACTATAGTTAATTAATTATTTAAAATATTTAATTTACTAATCAATTAAATAGAAAAATAAGTTTTAAAATTATAAATGAGTTTATTAACTATATATATACTGTATATATACTGTATATTGCTTATATACTAAATATTAACTTGCTCAAATTTTCAAGGACTCGTTTTATGTATTTATTTATTTAAAAAAACAACTTTTTTTATATATATTTATTTAGTATATTAATTATCAACTTATCTCTCTCAGTTTTATTTTTTATATTTTGAATTTAATATCAATATATATATATTTACAACATTTATAGTATAATGTAAATGTAAATATTATACTCATTATATATATATATATATAATTAATTAATAATTAAGAAAATTTATAGCTTCTAAAGTTGACAAAAATTTTTTTAATTATTTATTGCAAATTAATAAATAGTAATTAAATTTTCATTTATTCATTAGTACATGTATATGTAATAATTTATATTTTAGTTGTAAATTAAAATTTCAATCAACCAATTCAATACAGTAAACAATTATTTTTTGAAATTTATAATAACTATATATATATATATAATTGTAACTATTATTTTATTTAACTACAATCTATTAATAATTTTTTTAACTGAAATATTTTTAAAAAATCATTTTGTTTTTTAACTGAAACATTATATTGTATTATATTATATCTAAAAAAATTGTAGTATAAAACTGTGTGATTTGTTTTGTTTTTTTTTGTTGGGATATAAAATTAAAATTGTTTTAACCAAAAAAAATGTCAAACATTTACGCAAACATTACATTAAACGATGCCATCGAAGAGGCAGAGATGGGTATCGACAACCAATATATGAGACAAATGGAGGAACGGTATGAACAGCGCCGGCAGCTATTGATATACAAAGAGCAACGACGCCAGGAGATGGCCGGCCAACGGCTGGCCGATGCTATGTTAGAGAGGCAACAGTTTATGGCCATTCAGGAGACCAGTCAACTAAAACAACAACAACAACAACGACAAAAGCACCGGCATATCGATCGGCCAGTTATTCAGCAAAATCACCGACAAAACTAATCTTTTAATTTGTTTGAAATATTTGACATTTTTTTATCATAAAAAACTACATAATCTTATAATCCAATGATTTATTTGAAAATTGTTTCAATAATCTACAAAAAAAATTTTTGACAATTAAGTTACTTATTATATTGTTTAAATTTTTTTAAATAATTAATGTCTATTTGTTTAACAAAAAAAATTATCACATTTTTATTGTATTTTTTAATCCTATTTTAATGATTGTTTTTTTAAACGATAAATATTATTGTAATAAATGTTAATAATTATCATTAATGCTCCCTTAATTTTATAATAAAAAAAATAATATTTTTAAATACAAACTATGTAATTTATTATAAAATTTAAAAAAACAAAAATTTAATAAAATGCTAATTGCTATTACTTGTTTTTATACTATTTTTTTTAAAAAAATATTATCAAGGTTATAAAAGCACATATTTTTGATGATATTAATACTAATAATTATAATTTTTTAAAATATGTATCAAAATATATGCTGTATTTTATTATAAGAGTGAAACTATTATATAGTTTCGGCATATGATATGACACCTACATGAGCCCACCCGAGACACCCAGACAATTGCCCTAATAATTATGGGATGCTCAACAAAATGTAATAAATCCTAATAATAATAATAATAATAATTTTTATGTAGAAATTATCTTTTAAATTAAAATAAAAACATTTTTCTTAATTTATATTTAAAAAAGTTTGTTCACATCAATGCAAATGTTGTTTATTTAAATTAATATTTTAAATTAGTCTATAAAAATTATATATAAAATAATATTTACATAAATATCATCATAAAAATTATTATTAGTAGTAATATTTTCATAATTTCTAATAATGCATATATTGTATCATATTTATTTATATATACATATATATCATTGCTATCAATCAGCTTATACTATATATATATATATATGAATTCATGATTCAAAAAATAGATATAAATTAATAGATTTTATGGAATATTTTCTAATTTAAATTTTTGCAAACAAAAAAAATAAATAAAATAATAATAAATCTTTATTTTTATTTTTTGGTTAAACTTTATTTAGTATATATATATGTATATATATATATATATATATATATATATATAGACATTTTTTCAAGTCATTTAACTTTTTATTTTTTCATTTATATAAATATATATCTAATATAAGATAATTTTCAATTATAATTGTCTGCATGTATTTGTATAGTAAATATGATAGCATATATATAGTATATATATATATATATATATATATATATATATATATATATATATATATATATGTATTTATGTGTGTGTGTGTATGAGTATGAGAGAGAGAGAGAGAGAGAGAGAGAGAGAGAGAGAGAGAGAGAGAGAGAGAGAGAGAGAGAGAGAGAGAGAGAGAGAGAGAGAGAGAGAGATCAACAAAACTTTAATGTAAACTCTTTTTTTTATTTGTGTATACATTATATGTCATATACTACTAATACATTAGTAGTATACAAATGATGAGAAATAATATAAAAAAAATTTCTGTTCATTCACATCAAACATTTCTCAATTTAATAATATATAATATCATAAATGTTTTTTTTGCGAGACATGTGCTCATTATTTAATATTATTAACATTTTTGCTATAAATTTTATGGTGAATCACATTTATTATGGTTTTTTTCAATTTCACAATTTTATATATATATATATATATTTAGTACTATTGTTAATAATATTACTACTAAATTATGTTTATGTATGAATAGTATAGTTGGGGAAAATTTTATTTTTTTTGATGCTATCAAATAATATAATAAAAATTAAAATTATTTGATTGATTATATTTAGTATAGTATATACAGTAGTATTGTATTATAAATTTTATAATGTACTGAACTATAAATTACATTGTCAAGGTTCACTGAGCAATTTAAATTATAATACTATAATATAATATTATTAATAAAATTTTATTAAATATAATTAATTAATAATATTATTAAATATAATTAATTAATAATATTATTAAATATAATTAATTAATAATATTATTAAATTAATTTTTTTTCTTTATAATTTTTTTTATAAATTTTTCTTTAATTAATTTACCCGTGGATTAACTTATTTTTTAGTAAATAAAAATTTTTTTGTATAGACACGTGGCAGCTTTATATTTTTGATAATCATAATAATAATAATAAAATTCAATTTCCAGTAACTTTATAATGAAAATAATATATTGAAGTTTATTATTGATATATTAAATGATGATATTTTTGACTCCAAATTAAAAGATAAAATAGTATACAATTATAAAACTAATTATATTATTATTATTATAAAAATTTTATGTTTATTCAGCTGTGAGTAATAAAATTATAAATTATATTATATATATATAAATATATTTATATATGCAGTACATCACATATGTGTGCATTAATTATAAAAATAATAAAAATCTAAAAATTACACTAAAAATACACGGAATTTATTAATTAATTACCAAATCATAAAATAAACAATTTATATATCAATATACTGTGTATTTACTGTACAATACATTAGAATATTCTGATTATTTATTTTTTTAATTTTATAATTTTTTTGTTGTTGATATAGTAGTTATCTACTAATAATATTTTGATTTCGCAAAATATCATTAAAATAAACTTTTTTTTTTTTTTACTTTTTTTTCGGTGAAAATTATTTAATAATAATTTATTCAAAAACCCCTGGCGAGCAAAGGGGAGGCAATAAACCTCCAAATGATGTAAATATTTGCGATAAAGTTCATTGAATTTGTATTATTATTATTAAATGATAACAAATATAAAAAACATTTAAATTAATAATGTTTCATATCTTAGTTTATCTTATTTTTTTGTTGTTGTTGTTGAATAAGTTATTTAATATATTATATATATATACTATATATATAAATGTATAGATTTTTTTTTATTAACCTACCTGTCCACATGTTACAGGAGTGTGCCTGTTTAACACATTTCACATGTCTATGATATATATATATATATAGTATAGTACAGTATATACTATATATATAGTACCTGTGTATAGATGATTGCACACTAAAATAACTAATCTAAACTAGATTTTCACATACAAGAAAAAAAATTCACCTGGGTTACCTTGACCATCATCATCATCATCATAATCAAGGTTAAATTGACAAAATTAAACAAAATAGCAATTTTGTTGACCTTTAAAAAACTATTAGATTTTTTTCAACAACAAAAAAATTTAAAAGTTTTTTTTAAATAATATTTCAAACAAATTTATTTAATAAAAAAATTCATCATTTTTTTCACTACAAAACACAAAAATAAAACAAACAAAAAATTAACATTTATTTTATGATATTTTTATATATATATGTGACATATAGTTGAAATAAATTATATAAAAATTATTTTTGTACATTTCTAATGTATTTTATTGTTTTTAATATCAATTTAATAAATTAGTATTTTTTCAATTAAGTTAAAAATATATTTATATATATATGTATGACAATATGAGTTTTAATTTTTGTTTTGTTTAATTACATAACATTTATATAAATACAGTAATATAATGATAATAATTATTATTATATATTAAAAATAAATACAAATACAAACAATTTTTCCGTAATTATTATTATTAATAATAATTCACATTCAAACTGAACTAAACCTATCTTTAAACGGATCGTTAAACAAACTAAACTGTGTCTCACTTTTATCTCCGCCGACACCGACGCCAACACCACTAACCGATTTTACGGCCGGCCTATGATTATTGAATCGTTTGATAGCCGTACCGATATGCCGGTGACCGCGCAAATACTTGATCCGATAGACAATAAGCCGATAGACATTACGTTTGACGGTAAACGATACGAATATGAAGGCCCCGTTCAGGCCATGCAATACGATGGTCGGATAGGTAAACACCGGGGTCTGGGTAAACAAGGCTATAAACCAGAAGATCCAGGTAACGCCCAACATTGTCAACAATTTCATATAGAGTACCAGCCGTACGGTAACCTTGGCCTTGGATCGGGTAGCGAAACGGGTTTCTTCGGCGCAACGTTTCAGTTTCATGGCCGTCACGATAAACAGGCCAACATTGACGGTCAGTATGATGGAGACGGGTATGAAGAAAAACATGAGTATCGGCGCAATGTGTGATATACCGCACGTTACTCTTCCTAGAAGTAAAAAATAGTTTTTTTTATGTTTGTATTGAGGAAATGGATGCGGAATAATAAAAGGTCAGTACACCTCAAATGGACAGTTATGTATATATATATATATATATATAATGTATATATTCAATGTGTGTGTTTGTATCATAATAGTAGCCATAAATATATCTCTCAAAATAAATTATTGTTATTGTTTTTATTATTTTTTTTACTAATGCTTTCAATTCAAATAAATAATGAAAATGAAAATATTATCTAATATTATATTATTATTTTGTGTGTTTTCTGGTATTTTCTGTGTTTTATTTATTTATTTATTTTGTTTAGTTATGTTAGTTAGTTGTCTCTCTGTAATAGTCATTGAAAATGTTATGTAATTTCTATGTTAAATGTTATGTCGGTTTTTTTCGGGTTGTTTACTGTATATTATATATATGTATTATATCTAACTTTACTTAAAAGACTATCCAAAATACTGTATACTATAATATATAAATATATTTAAAGACATACACAACAAAAAAACACTATTACTTTATATAACTGTTATATATATATATATAACATTACATACCATAAGAGGGATTATATGGCGAGTCGTCCGGTATATTGATTTGCAATACTAGTGTCGCGGATACTATAAGCGCCGGCATTAGCCAACCGTACAGTGAATAGACTAGAAATTTGCTGTTTTCCTGGGCTTTCAATTTAATGATAGATATCTTAAATTTAAGGGCACGAGTAAACGTTTTATAGACATCATATGCCAATACATTCATCCAGAAAAATGCCGCTATATTTCAACAAAACAAACAATAAACAAACAAAAAAATAAATTTCAATTTTATTGATACCAACAAAAAACATTTATTTATATATCTATATTATTTTTATTATTTGAATAGTTTTTATATGTATAGTATAAAGGATATGATATTTTTTTGTTGGTGTGAATTTTATATATAGATGTTTAATGTATCTTATATTTTATAAAATGATTTTTCAATTGATGATATACTGTATATACAGTATATACAGTATATACAACTTATGAGTATTTAGTTATTTAAGTGTAAGTATTTATATAAAATATATTGCAAAGTAATTTAGTTGTGTGTGTGATATCAATTGAAAAAAGTTAGTAAAAATGCGGGTTAGTTATTAAAAGTATTATATCAATATTCTATAAGTACTGTATATAAAATAAATTATATACTGTATATATATATAATTGATATTATGATGTATAGTATTTTATAATTTTGATGAAATTAATAATGAAAATTTATTTTATATATATATATATCATAGCATATATAAAATAATTGAATTTAATAATTGAATTTCAAAAAATATTTACATTTTTTGTACAATAATATATATATATATATATATATATATATATATATATATATATATATATAAGTATTTTATTGTTAAAAAAATTAATAGTAAAATATATTAAAATGTAAACTAAATTTGTATGCAATTTATCTAAATATTAATATTTTATTAACAGTACTAATATTTGTATATATCATACAATATCATTAAATAATTATAATAAAAATATTAATACAGTATTATTAGTATTTCCTAAACATTGGGTGAAAATAATTTTTTCTTTCTATTAAATAATAACTAATAAAAAAATAATAATAATAAAAATTATAGCCAGACTAATAAATATACAGTAATTATTACTAAAAATATATAGCTTTAATATTATTTATATTTAATAATTATACTGCTGTTGTTAATATCAAATAAAGATCTCAAATAAAAATTTATTACAACAACAAATCAATAAATTTTGGTATTAATATTAGGAAAAATCCCTTAATATTAGTATATGTTATTAAAAATATTAGACTAAATGTTTTTTTGTTGTTGAGACTCTATACTATATAGAGTCTATAGACATAATCATCATTTTTGTTGTAAATAAATATATAAAAAAATATTAACTTAATTATATAATTTTCAGACACATACACACACATAATATCATCATTATATATATATACATAACTAAAATAAAAGTTTTTATATATATTAAAAAACATATCAGACTGTATGTATATATATATACCCCTCGAGGTATACTTAAAGTACTAATTCAAATAAATTTGTACTAAAAAAAATAAATAAATAAATTGTTAAATGCATTTAGATTTTACTGGTAAAAACCAGAAAACTTGCTTATATATAAATTACCTGTATATCACACACTATATTAAATTAATATACAATATAGTAACTAAAAAAAAATTATATAACAAAAATTATATTTTTATATGCAATTAGTTTTTTCAAAAAAAATAACTCTAGTTTTTATCCATTGAAAATGATAACCCAATTGCTTGGTTTTAAAATATTTATTTATTAAAAAATTACAAAAATAATTATCAAATAGACTTTTTTGTTGTTGTAAATATCAGACAATTATTTTCAATAGTATTGAAAGATAAAAAAAAATTAATATCAAAAGTGTGTTTACAATTAAGTGTGTTTACATAAACAAATATAAAGTATATATATGGATAAAATAAATAAAATATATTTAATATATATATATATATAGATATTTTTTTTGATCAAATAAATTTGTGTAGGAATTGGTAACAAATTAAACTAATGTTTTTATTTGAGATAATAATAATAATAATAAAAATAAAAAGATTTGTTTGTTATTTAAATTTATATCATCACTTGTACCACCTCCACACACACACACACACACACACACACACACACACACACACACACACACACGAGTATAGCGCTCAGGTAGCTAAACATACATAAGTCATATTAGAAACATATAGTTAATTACAGTATATAAAAACTTTGTGTATTTAGCAATATATTGAACATTAATTTATATATATGAATGCAAAATTAAAATTTTATTAAAATTTAAGTTAATAGAATATGTAGTTTTAAATTGATAAAAAAATATTAATATATTTATTATTTTTCATATAAATATATATATATTGTTGATAAGTCTACTTTACCTAAAAACGAGTATAGCCTGATAATGGCTACCGATATGCACAGGGAGCTGGTGGGCGACGGCTCAATGTGTAGGGATAGGACAAAAAATACGGCACCGGAAAGCAAGGCTAACGACAGCGACATTAGACACTTTCCGGGTGTGTTCCGTAGCTTAGGTACAAAACCGTAGACCAGTAGGTGCATCGTTAGACAGATACAGGATATACCTAAGCACAGCTCGAGCATCAGTCGCATGTGTGGCAACATTAAGGGCACCATTAGTACAATTTGATGTACAGGTTCATCACCACTAATGTCATTATTATTATTACCACTACCACTACTACTAGTACTATTGTTAATTTGATGATGATTATGATGGCTATTATTATTATGAGGATAACTGTTGGCTACACTGTTGTTGTTGGCACAGGTATTACCGGTACAGTTGACATTGGCTGCTGAGCTATTGAATACTAGATGCGATGGCCTTTCCGATGCACCGGTAGTGCTGCTGCTGCCGGTGGTGGTGGTTGTAGTGGTGTTCAGGCCGTGAATAAAGGCGCTCATGAATATTAATAGCTCCATATTATTATTATTATTATTATGAATAATGAGGAGCACCGGTAGTTAGTTTTATTTTTTGTTGTTTGGGTAATGACGGACAACAAAATTGCCACTAATTTATTATTATTAATACTAATACTAATAATAATAAAATTAATGTAAAAGTAAAAGTCATAATATTGTTTTTAATATGAAACATAGTTTTTATATTAAATATATTTTGTATCAAATTTTTTTTTTAATATAAATATTATTATTATTAATTGATGAAAAAATTTATTACAATATTATTATTATTATTAATTGATGAAAAATTTATTACAATATTATTATTGTTTGCTGTATTGTACTATACTGTATATATAATAACATTTATTACGCATATTTAATATCACTATTTAATATCAAAAGTTAAATTTGATATTTCAATGATTGAACTGAAATTCAATACAGTATTTATTTTAAATATATATTTTTCTTTTGTATATAAATACTGAACAAATATAATGTAGTTTTTGGAAATGGACATCAAAAAAATGTTATTTATTTAATATTTAATTCATTTATATATATATATATATAATGTTTCTAAACTATAGTTGTTTAAACATAATAGCCATTATGAACACAAATAAATATATATACAAATAAACGTTTTTTTAAATTCACATAAAACAAATTTAACAACAAAAAAATAAATAGAAATAATTTTTTTTCAAACAATAAAATAAATCTGTGTTTGATATTAATATTGAACTTATATTTTATATATATATATATTTATAAAAAAATACTTTCTTTTATGTTCAATATTTATTGAATTTTTTTATTTCAAAAACAAAAATTATTTTTATATATATAATATTGTCTCAAGAATTATTTCATATATATATTATACTATAATATATTTTATATAAAATATAAATAATAAAACATTTATATGGATTATTATATTATATTATTATTATTAGTTTTATTAATGAAAACTTAGTAAAAAATACTGATTACAACATAACAGCAAACAATACAAATGAGAAGCACTGCTAATACAACATAACATAATATAAAATGAAATTTAATTTTTTTTATTTTCTAAACACAAAATACATATTAAAAATTTATGACTTATAAAAATACATACAACAAAAAAATAATAATAAAATAAAATAATCCCAATTCATGGGAACTGTAGTTGCATTATATGTTTTAATAAATAATTTTTTCACAGTTGACATATAGATATAAACTATAATATAAAAATATTATTGAACTTTCACTTTATATTATATATATATATATTTATTATAATAATTAAAAGTTTATATATTTTATTATTATTATATAATAAAAATATTTAGAATAAAAATTAATTAATTATATTATATTAGATTATTATTATAATAATAATAATAATAAACTAAATATTTTCAAAATTTTAATATTTTTTGTACAAATCTTAAAACACACTAACATTTTGAGAGAGAGAAAGCGTTTTTCAAACTTTCAAGTATTTTGAAGACAAAATTTTTTTTTAAGTACAAAACTTTTTTATTTTTAGTACAAAATTAAAATACACTTATGTTTTTTTTAATACTAAAATACACATAAAATAGTTAGACTACAAAAAAGTAAGTACACATCACTTATATATAGATTGTATTATATCATATATTATACAAAAAAAAAAATGTATGAATGTCTCGTTATTATTATTAACGTTTAGATAATTGTTGAGGACTTTTTATTGAGGAGTTTTTTATTAAAAAAATTATTATTAAAATAACCACACAATTTGTTGGTTATGTGTACTAAAAAAAATAATACTAAATAAATATAAAAATCTTTTATATATACAGTGAATTGAAAAAATCATTACCAAAGTATATATATATATATACAGGAAAGGGATTTCTCTCTCTTTTGCAGCAAATGTTATTGAGTGAGACATTGAAGTAATGTTAGATAAAGTTTAGAGAGAAAGAGAGAGAGAGAGAGAGAGAGAGAGAGAGAGAGAGAGAGAGAGAGAGAGAGAGAGAGAGAGAGAGAGAGAGAGGTCCCACTGTCTGATCATTTTTATAACATTGCAATCAATAATCACAAGTATTTTTTTTCTTATAAATTTTAAAATTAGTTTTATAAACCAGTTTTTAAAAAATGTTTTAAATGTATTTTATTTTTTATAGCTTTACAACATATATATATATTATAATCTTATAAAAAATATTAATAAAAACCATTTTTTCTATAATTTATTTATTTTTTTAAAAAACGCTTTATAAGTGTTATGAATTAAATGTCTAGCAACAGCAAGTTAAAAATAAATTATAATATAAAATGTTTAAATATGTTAAATAATAATTAAAATGATTATATTATAGATTTTAATATTTGAAAATTATTTTTTGTATTAGGTTTTTTATCTCTAAATATTTAACTAATTATCTAATTTAAAAATATTTATAGAAAATATTTTTTTTTTAAATATTAATATTGCCAATATTTTTTATTATTTATATATCTATTTTGAAAAATACTATTTATATAATATCTATTATCTAGAAGTTTAAATGATTTTATATATATAATCATTAAACTACTGTAAAATACATATTAAATATTTAATTATTATTATTAGTAAATTTTAATTTTTAAAGCTATCTATGATAACTAAATATATTTATTTTTTTTATAAAAACATACCGACATTTTATTTATAAATAAAAAAAATTGCGGTTTAATTGTATTTAACAGTTGCGGTTGATAAACTTTTTTGTTATTATTATTATTTCCTAAATTAATTAATCATTTTTGCCAATTATTGGTTTAAAAATGCTACAAAAAAATTATTTTTATTGAATTTTAATTTCCAATAATTATGAAGGATTTTATTAGGTTTTTTTTGTTGTCACAAAATAACTATTAAATATTTAACCCTTTTTTTACTAATAAAAAAATCATTTTTTTGCTATAATATATAAAACATTAATTTTATTTATAAACTTTTTTTTGTGGAAATTTATTAAAAATTTTGTTATCATCTCTTATATTATTAATTAATAAAAAAATAATTTAAATACACAAAAAAAATTATAAACTCATAAAATTTTCTAATTATATTGAAGGACAATGTTTTGTGTTTATGTGTAATATTTGTTTATAATAATAATAATAATACTAATAATAAAAGATTTTATAAACAATTTTTTTAAATAATGCAACAAAATTCAAGTATTTAAGATCAATGTCTTTAAATTTTTTTTTAAAAAAAACATTACTATATATCTGTGTTTTATAACTCATTACAATAAATGGTTAATGTTATTAACACTTAGAGTGAAGGATATTAAGTGTTACGTAAAGGCTTTAACGTGTCCGAAAAAATAACATTGCAATAAAGATATTTTACAGGAGTAATTATAAATTATTACATAAAGATAATCATTGTCTATTTCAAGACATGATAAGTAGTCATGCGTGTAAATGACGTGATATTTTTATATCAAAAAATATATTTATAATTTTTTATTTGATTGAAATTTTTTATTTTTCGATATTAGTAATTTTAAAAATATTGCAATCATTATGTAATAGTAGTCAACATAGAGTCTACACAATATTTAATGTATTGTTTATATGTTATGTCTGTGTTATGACTGCACTTATGGGTTGATGTGTTTTATACGACAATTGTCTATACATCGGGCATTGTTTACAAGACATTTGATGACCAATTAAGTGATGAACAACAACCTCATTGTTGTAGCCGTAAAGCGCAATTTAATATAATTTTACAATTGTTTTGTATTTTAGGTATTTATTGATTAAATCATTTATTTTATCTATTAATGTCTTACACATGTCTGGACATTGATTAAGGTTTGGGATATTTTTTGATCTCATTAGTCATGAAGTCGGTGTCGACACCGGCGGCACAGTTCGCATACGACAGACCAACCAAAGCAATGCTAACATTTCTTGACAAACATTTTGGTCTGAGTCGACCACTTCCACAACACAATCACTTTATTATATTTGAAAACTTCTTTTAATTATTAATCATTATTTTGTTTAATTGCTATAAAATTTATTTCACATTTACCGGTACCTCGAATTCAAATTTTTATAAGTCATTAATTTGATTAGCAATACAATGTGTACGAGTTGAATATTATTTAAATAAATATAAAAATAAAAAATAATATTTAATACAATATATTTATTTTTCAAAAATAATAACATAAGAAAAATTTTCAATTAAATATATATAATTTTCACATATATTTACATTAATATCATTAAAAATATAAAAATTATTATTTTTATTTATTATACATAAAGTATGGAGATTATTATATAATTCTTGACATAAAATTATGCTATTAATATAATATATATTATCATTAATTATAATAGCATTATTATATTTAAAATTAAATTTTTTATCATAATCAAAATGTATTATTAAATATTTACGTAATAATATATTATTAAATAGATTTAAATTTAAATTAATTATATCTTGTAAAAAATAATTGTTTAAATTATTAACATTTATATTTATAACATAATTAGCTATATTATTTTGAATATTAAAATCATATACATTTAAATCTAATGAAAATAAATATGATACAGGATTTACACAATTTTCATAATTTTTAAAATTATCAGAAAATATATTTAAAAATTTATTTAAAAATATATCCGCCCAATAACCTTGATTAAATATAATATCTAATTTAATATTTAAAATATCTATTATATAATTTATATTTTTGTTATTTAATGAATTAATTATATGATTTTTTAATTCTAAATTATTACAATTATGTAATCTATTAGAAAATTTTTTATATTCGTGACATAATTTATTATAAGATTTAAATATATTTATATTATTAAAATTAGTGTTTTCTGTTAGTTTTTCACAAAAATAAATAAAATTAAAAGTACTTAAATTTATTATACTTTGCATACAAGATATCGGTACACAATTGAATCCG